CTTCTAATTTTCATGCAAAAGTGGCTTTTCTCAAAAAGAGGTTGAATAAATTACGAAAATTCATCCTAAAATGTACTGTGAATAGCACTGGATGAACGGGAGTTCAACCAAAAAGCCAACCAAAAGCCTCATTCAACCAAAGCCTGCCTGCCACTGGCTCAGAACTCCTCCTAAGAATCCAGCTGGCTGTGCCACATGAGAGGGTAGGACAAGCCCACAATTCCCACAAGGCCAGAGTGGGGAGAGACAGCATCAAGAGGCAAGGGACAGCATTTTTTTTTATGACACCGCAGATAAGCATGCTATCACTCAGCAAAATCTGCTAGAAAACAGCCTCAACCTCCTTTAAGACTTATTTTATTTTTATTTGAAAGCAGAGTTACAGAGAGAGAAGAGAGACACATCTTCCATCCACTGGTCCATTCCCCAAATGGCTGCAACAGTCAGAGCTGAGCCCATCCAAAACCAGGAGCCCCTCCAGGTCTCCCACATGGGGGCTTTGCAGATATTTCCCAGGCCATAAGCAGAGAGGTAAAGCTGCCCAGATTTGATTCAGCTGGCCTAGCTACCTCAATAACAAGACAATTACACAATTCTCTCCCAAATCTCTTTTTCTCTGCATTTTAACATGATACTAAGTGAACAACATTCAGATACTGATGGTTAAAACACTTTGCAAAACATAAGCGATGGTTTCCACTTTCCACAATCACTTCCCAGAATGCACATCGGATACAAAGCTGGGCACAGGGCACTGGTTCTATAGTGCACTGTAACAATTTAGATCAGCCGCAGCAGCAAGAAACCACCACAGGTCATGAAGCCATATCAGCACAAAAATAAAAACACTGCTGGCTGGACCTCTAGGAAAATTCAAATTGGTTTTACTCTTTCTTAATTGCCACATTTTTCTTCAGTAAAACAGACTAGCTGAAATGGAATACTGTAGGAGGACATTGTGACCCTATAAAGTCAGCTAGCACAGGATTACAGTTGATTGGATAATATTTGCGTGAGAACAATTGAATGGCTACCTTTCGTATAACTGATTGGATGGACAGTATGTGTGTGAGAACACTTGGTGGAATATACAAGACAAAAGGAGTTCCAAACAAAAGCATAGAAACTGTTACTGGGTTTTGTTGATGAGCTCAATACTTGCTCCCTTATCCCATATGACCCTCAGTGTATAAAGTTGGATGCCAGTAATAAACTTCGGCTTTGACCATCCGTCAGGGTCCACACGTGTTATCCATGCACCAAGTCCATCACTGCGGGACAGCGACAGTTCTTCCTCATAACACTACAAGTTGGATGGCTGAATAAAACTGGTGTCGTGGGATGCAGTGCGTACGTCTGCCACACTCCTCTCTCATGTTAATCCCAAGGAAAAAAACAGGAGCATGGTTCCAAAATTTTAAAAATTCAGTAAAAATACAGTTTCCTTGAAATAGAAACATAAGCAGTTACTCCCCAACAGCACAAATTGAGAAATGTAATGAGCACCAAAGCAGAAGGCAAGACCAACCCAGCTGCCAACAGGACAAGCAAGGTGTGCTCCCTGGACAAGCCTTTGGGGAGACAGAACAGCATCTCACAACACGTCTCAAGCAGTCTCCAAGAAAGGCTCTCAAACTCAGAATTTCTTTGAAGTCTCTTCCTAGCACTTTAAAAATGAAGAATCTGAATTTGGCCTTATAATATTCCTACACACATGTTTATCTTAAATGTGTCACTTCCTCACCACCATCAATTTTAGGACCATGCCATGTCGACACTGCTGTCCCCCATGCAGGGTCAACCCCACCTTCCTCAGCCAGCCTTCGCACCCCACCCTTCTCACCCAGTCCCTGCACCCTGCCCTCCTCAGCCAGCCTCTGTACCCCAGGCCTGCTCACCCAGCTTCCTCACTCCAGCCTCTGCACCCTGCCTCCATATCGCACGTCTCTGAGCCAGGGGCCATGGGGGCAGCTCTATCAGTTTCTGAGCCATTTTTTCTCCTTGATGTTATTAATAATTTTTAACATCTAAAATCTTAGTTCATTCATTCACATACTCTGTACTCAACATTTATTATTTTTTGTGTGCTAATTTCTTATTATTCTATTAAACTGGAACCCAAACCATCCAACCTTCCCATTGACCTATTGTTTTTTTATCCAGAAAAAGGAAACATTTCAGTATATTCCCTCATGATAATCTTAACCAATACCTGGAGTTATTAGTACATTTTTATTTGTATAAGTAGGAAAACCCTAGGTTTCTATAATTATTTAACTTTCATAAATTACACACCAATGTAACCAGCACTCAGATTAAAACAAAACCCTTTACTAGCATGCAAGAACTATTTTTTTTTTTACTTAGTATTTTCCTACCTAATCCTTCTAACTGACCTATGAACTTTGTTGCCAATTACTTTACAAAGAATGTCAAATAAGCATTAAAACGTTCATTCATTCAACACTTATATAAAGAGAACCTATCATCTGCTGGGTGTCATGTCAAATACTAGGGACAAATCAGCAAAATAAACAAAAATCCTGAGCTCTTAGAGGAGTAAACGACAGTAAGTAAGATAAAGGAAGTTAACCACGGAAAGAGAACAAGGCAGGAAAGGGAACAGAGCCACTAGTGGCAGAATGCTTAAGAACTGGCCAGAGAACACTGCGTGAAGGAAGGGCACTGAGGGTATAGAAGGATGGACACAGCTGCGAGGCACAGTGTGCTGGATATGGCTGTGTGATGGCAAGGAGGCTAAACAAAAGGGGAAGTAACGGACATGGCCAAGGACAATCCAGACCCTTGTGTAAGGAACTTCACTTTTACTCTGAGTGAACAGTGAAGCCACTGAAGAGTTCAGAACATAAGACGAGGCACAGTACAACTTTACTCCGGCCACTGTACTGACAGAGCCCGTGGAGAAGGAGCACTCAGGGAACTGGGGAACAATCCAGGATGGTGGCCATGGCTAGAAGCAGGATGGTGGCCATGGCTAGAAGCAGGATGGTGGCCATGGCTAGAAGCAGGATGGTGGCCATGGCTAGAAGCAGGATGGTGGTCATGGCTAGAAGCAGGAAGGGTTTGCCCTGCAGAGAAGACATGGGCATAGATACACATGGTGAGGGGGAGGCCTGCCTGTCTCTGGATGGCTTCACTACCCTGTGAACTAACAAGCAAGGTGCTCTAGGTGCTTGAGGATCAAGGAGACACGTGCGTCTCTGGAGAGCACGTGGACCAGGGAAGTGAGACTCCCAGCGCCCATGAAGGACCCAGGGCAGAGACCTTGGGTTCAAACTGAAAGCAGCAAGTATGGTGACCAGTTTCTCCACTAGGCATCCTGGTGTCTGGGGCAAAGGCAAGAAGATAAGCGTGTTAAGGCCACAATTCTAAATCACAAGTGACAATGGCAAGAAGACAAGCTGGAAAAGGAAAGTAAAGACACCAGGCACAGCGGGAGGAGGAGAAGGGGAGTCAGGAAAGACTCACTTCAAAAACTGGATCCCAACCAGTCCAAGAATCGTTGGAAGTAATAGAAAGAATACAAAAAAATAAAAAAAATGGTAGACAACAGTAGGAAAATGTGAAATGAAGATTCAGGATGGAATGTAGTTTGTATTAAAAACAAGATCTGGAAATGAGCAGTGGAATGGACCAGAGAGAATTCACTTCTGGAAGGGAGCTACAGGTTTGAAGACATCAGGACACTGACAATGAAATCACCCAGAATTTCTAACAGGAGACTGACTGTCAGCAAACTAAGAAGCAAGATCTGTTGGGAGAGAACTCTCATGATGGCACATTCCAACACGTGCTGTGAGCAGAGACCTGCGTACTCTCTGTTCAGGGATCCTGTTCTCCAGGACTTTGTGTTAGGAGTATTCCGACAAAGCATGGGACAGTCTCACCTCCAATGACAAAGGCAGGGTACTGTAGTGTAAATTTAAAATCCCTTATCTCAAAACCAAAGAAGGGAGGAGGAAGGGAGTGTGGGAAGGAGGGAGGAGACATCATAATATTACCAGAACTGTATCTATGAACTATACCAAATCTTTCAAAAACTAAAAATTTTTTAAAAGAAAATTTCTAAAAGTAAAGATGACCCTGCAAAAGATTTCAGTTCTCTTAAATCAGGGTCCCTCATTTGTAATATAACCCACAGTGTGTGCAGGGGTCAACTGCCTCTGTCCAATGCTGTTACTTTGGCTCACATGCTATTTGTTCGCAATAACTAATGCTTTTGTTGCTAATCATAAAGGACGATTTTTTACCTTACATGTTGTATAAAAGTTCTTGACAAAACCTCCAATGAATGGAAGGCAGAAAGAGACTGCAGGGGCCAGTGTGGTGGTGTACAAGCTATTCCTCCACCTGAAGTGCCAGGTCCTGCTCTCTGCTGATGGGAAAGCAACATACCATGGCCCACGTTCTTGGACTCCTTCCTGTACCCATGCAGGAGCCCAGAAGCTGCCAGTAGTGAAGTGAACCAGCAGATAAAACATCCCTGTCTCTCCACTCTTTGTAACTCTGCCTTCCAAATAAAAGCAAATAAAACTATTAAAATAGAACTTGAGAGGATTGAAAGTAGTGTAATGCAGGAAGCAACATTCAAGGCAGAGGAAAATAGGGACATAACACAAAGAGAAGCACCAATACACTGGGCACAGACCCCGAGTCCCAAAGACTGTCAGAACACGGGAAGGGCTGGGCTTGAAGGGTCAGACGGGGACACACGTGGTGGGATTCACAGACCTTGGGTTCTTTGTAATAACTGACATGAACACCAACAAAGGAGCACAATGAAATTAGTCATCATTCATCTAAGTCAGATTAGATGTGTTTACTTGTTCCACACGGCCTGTCCCTCTCTGAGCTACCTGGTATCTACTATGGACAGCTGACCAAACAGAACACCACTTCAGAAAATTTAGAAAACATAAGCTTTAAAAAATATGTGTCAAACTGTTATTTAAGACAGTAAGAAGCAAATGTTAACTTACTTGAATTAGATCTAAAATGCCAAGTTCACTTTCTGAAGAATCCACACAGAAGACAAAATACAATGTTGCATAATGTCTATAAATCAGTTTGTTGTCAGATCCTCCAATTAATCTAAATGACAAAACAAAACAAGCGGAATGTTATAGGGAGCAAAATACAAAACATTTTCATTAGCTCAAGCAAACTGATAATATCTGTAAAAATCTTTCATTAAACAAAGGTCATATTTAGTGGCAAAGCATTTAAGAGAACTTCAGACATGAAGCAAACTGTTTTCTTCAGAAACATCAAGTAAAAAAGCTTAATTTTAGTTCATTAAACTATTCACTGATTAATTCTACGTGCCAGTTACTGACAGTGGATACAGGGCAACAAACAAGAACATTATCAGAGTGGAAGGTGTTACAGAGAGAAGCAAGACAGACGAGGCCTGCTGAAGGGCTGGCCGCTTCACACGGAGATGAGCTAAGGGGCAGGGAATGGGAAAAGCCAGCCACAGAGAGACGCCAAGAGCATTTCAGGGTTAGGAAACCACTAACAAAAGGACCACAGAAGTGTGTTCAAGGGAAGAAAATGCAGGCCAGTGGACAAAAAAAAGATTAATCACCAGCGAGGTCGGAAGTGAGCAGGAATTAGATCAGAGGGCATTTGCAAGTGCTTACTAGATTTAACTCCATAGGTCACAGTAAGCTACACAGCTTAAGACTGATTATGAACTAGAAAAAAAAAAAGAATGAACATTCTTAAGTCCAGGGCAGATTTACCATCTAGAGTTCCTACAAAAATACATTCTGTTCTCAGATAAAAATGCAAGAGAGCTACACTAATACTCAGCTCTTTCATCAAATACTTTTATTTATATTAACCAGAATTTAAATATAGTTAAGCTACTTCATACTTCCAGGTTTCTAATGAGTTTTGCTTCTCAAAAGACCACCACAGTGGTCTCAAAAGTAAGGTTAAATGTTATCAAAGCTGACCAGTCAAGTAGACTACAGACAGTAGACACCCATTTCTGAGTACAAGTTCACATCAAACCCCACCTTCTCTGTCTGTGCTACACTGTGTCCTCCAATAGCAAAAGCAGAAATGACCTCCGACAACAACTCACAGTTGCTACTATGCTAGATACTTCTCTGGGAAAGGTATTTAATTTAAAAGTATACGTATGCACTCAGAATTTCTGAAATGGTATTTAAGGACTATAATTCAGCTGCTTCCTGAAAGAGACAAAAAGCACAGACAGCAATTCAGCAACTACCCTAAATGCTTGCTTCAAGATATTATCTGACTTCTGAAAACTGTTTCAAAGTAGCCATTAACGTTAGCAGAAGAAAGCAGGGATACATTTTCCTAACAGCCCACAGGTTGCTGCAGTCACAGCTAGTGACTAAATTAGGGATCTAGCTCCAGACCAGCCTAGCTACAGCCACTTAGAGACATTTGAAGAATAAACGGTTAATCTCTATCTCTCAATTCAAATTTTAAAAAATTCTTTTAGAATTTTCATTCTGAAATTATAGTACAGTACTATCATCAATTCCTAAAAATTTATTTGTTTATTTATTGAAAGGCAGATTTTATGGAGGGAGAGAGAGAGAAAAGTCTCCCACCCACTGGTTCACTACAGAAACAGCTACAACAGCCAGAGCTGAGCTGAGCTGAGCTGAGCTGAGGCTGGGAGTCAGAAACTTCTTCCAGGTCTCCCACGTGAGTGAAGGAACCCAAGACTTGGGCCATCCTCTACTGCTTTCCCAGGCCATCAGCAGGGGGCTGGATGGGAAGCAAAGCAGCCATAAGGGATGCTAACATTAGCCTGCTATGTTAATGCTCTGGCCCCATCACAAATTCTTACATGGAATATAATTCAATATACAAAACCATAAAATTTCAAATGTCCTAAACCCAAATATTCCACTTTAGAGGAGGAAATTGAGAAGTTCAAGAATTTAAGTGCCCTGATGAGCCACAAACTTCATGTTATGACATTGAGATAAATAAATTAACTTTTGCTTTTTAAGATTATTCTAAAGGTATTTTGTACGCAGAGAAGAAACAGAGGGAGAGGGAGAGAGAGAGATAGAAAGAGAATATCTTCCACCCGCAGTGACCCCAACGGCTGGGTCTGGGCCAGACTGAAGCCAGGAGCCTTGAGAACCTCCCAGATCTCCCATGCAGGAGGCAAGTACTTGAGCATTTTCTATTTTCCCAGGCACATTAGTAGGGAGGTGGCTCAAAGGAGGAGCAGCAGGGTCCAAACCAGTGCCCATATGTTGTTGCAGACAGAGGCTAAGCTCACCGCCCTGCAACACTGGCCCTATTTTCTAGTTCTGCCAAGGTCAGAAGGGCAGGTGTTGTGGCACAGCAGCCTGCATCTCACACTAGAGTGCCTCAGGGTCTTGGGTTCCTGCCACTGGAGTCCCAAGAGGCAGTTCCTGGCTCCTGGCTGTGTCCCGGCCAGACTGTTGAGGGTATGTGGGGGCAGTAAGTCAGCTGCTGGAGCAACCCCTCCTCTCCTTCCCTCAGTCATGCTGCCTTTCAAAAAACTAAAAACTAAAAACCAAAGATCTGTAAAAGCATAATCACAATTGCAAGCCACGATTGCTGGTTAGTCCTGCATGTCTACTGCATGCAACACAATGCACTGAGAGCTGTGCGTCCCAGGAGGCCAGAAACCCCAACGCTGGGCTGACAGAAAAAGACAAACATAGCAAACACAATGAACTGTGCAGACACATCAGAGAATCAGACACAAACAGAATACAGATCAGAAGCAAGTGGTAAAGTGGATATCTGTATTAACAACACAATTTCCAAACTTCATGTGTGAGTTATACATGTAAGTGCACCATGACATAGCAAAGTACACATGCTAAAAAACAACTTCAGAGATGAGAATGGATTCCATTATTGGAACTATTTTTCCTAACACGGGTCATACAAAACACAGAAAAGTACAGATTTCTCTAATACGAGACTATCGACAAATCTCAGCTATAGTTTAATTTTAAAAATATGTATAAGGAACTATCTTATTAAGTATATTAATTACATTAAATGGGAGAGAACACTTATGAAAACATTTGACAGTAAGTTAATTTCACAGAATCCATTAATTTAAAAATATTTATTTATAATACCTAGTTGGTCTTAGATACATTAACAGGCAAAATTTTTCAAAACACTAATTCAGGGGCAGGCTTTCGGCACAGTGGTTAGAAGCACCTGGCTCCCAGTATCCGCTATCAGAGCTCCTGGTTACATTCTCAGCTCCTCTCCCAGGCCCTCCTGCTGATGCACCCTGGCAGGTAGCAGACGCTGATCCCTGTCGCCCAGACAGGAGGCTCAGGTTGAATCCCTAGCTCCTGGCTTTGGCCTGCTCCAGCTCTGCCTGCTGCAGACATTTGGGGAGAGAATCATAAGATGGTAGATTTCTTTTTCTGCCTTTCAACCAAATAATCTTTTTTAAACTGAAACATATTAAATAAAAACAAGCAACATGCAAGTAAGCATATCGTTTGATCTCATAAATAAAACATTTTTAAGTATAGCCTTAAAAATGTTAGTGCATGCAACATTCCTTTTCACAGCAGGAAACATAAGAAATCAGGACACTGAACAATGGCCAGCCGTTAGGGGGACACTTCAACAAACATTTTACTCTTCCCTGTAACATCTGAACATTCTCCATATGAACAGATTACTTTTAAATTTAAAAAAGTCCTTGTACGACTTTTTAAAAAAACACTGAATAATTTTGAAAGAAAATTCTTTAAGCTTGATTAACAGCTACCATAGATATCAATTAATGAATCCAATTACTCAAAATTAGAAACTCTTTTTTTACCTTAAACAGATGAAACAGTATACATTTAAATTATACAGCCCCCAAGTTAGAAGTGTTCAGGAAATACTTTACTTACAATCCTCCTTCTAGGAAATTACAAACATTTTCATCTCTCTTAGATACCAAATGGAAAGTCTCCCTGATGATTTGCTGTTGTGTGTCTTCACTCTGAGAAAGAATAATTCATATACATTAGGATTGAATACAGGGTTAACAGTAATTTAAGAATTTAACAGATAAAGGAATAGCCTCTGCCTGAAAAATCTACCAAAAGAAAGAGAGGGTTCATCAGAGAAGTGGCTTAAATTACACCTAGCAGAAGCAAAAGCCAATATTGTTTCAACGGAAAAGAGGGAGAAAATGCTTGAAAGTTAACCACTATGATAAAGTCATTTATTGCCAAGTTGCAAAAAAAAAACCCAACTATATTTACTAGAAAAAGGGAAACTACACACTAACTAGTCAAAGCCCACTGTTTTCCAAGAGTAAGAGGTAAAGTTAGCAAATCACTCATGCAGCTAATTTATATTTCAATGGAAGAATGATTAAAAAGCACTGCTGGGTCTGCCTGAGTTTTAACCTTTATTATTAAAAGCAGACTGCAGTAAGAGACCATACATCTCATTCATCTTTATACAACCATAACTTAAACTAAGAATGGGTTCAATATAAGTATCTATTAAACATCAAGTAATTTATATGTCAACAACAATAACACAAAAAAAAGGTCAATTTTGCCAACAATGCAACAGAAAACTCAACAAAATATTCAATGAGAATTTCACAACCTGGGTAATATGATGGTCCACAAAAAATGAAAAGACACTGAACCTCAACAATGATGATGAAGAAACAATGAGACAGTTACACACACAGCACATCAGCCAATGGCAGTGTCAACTGTCGGCAGTGATGTGGTGCCAACACATCAGAAACACATATTCCAGGGTGGAGACACACAGATTCCACCACTCGGAACAAGAACTTTATCAACCGGCATTTTCCACTCTTAAACCATAAGGACCCAGGATTTTTGAAGGTTAAAAATAACTCAGTACTGAAATGACACACACATAGAGTAAGCAGTACACCTGAGCACCAGGCAACACCAAGGACAATATGCACAAAAGTACTGCTCTAGTGACAAAGCCACAAACAACCTGAAACTCCCCCAATCACAGCATGGTGGTAGGGATATGCTTCTTCTAAGAAGTTAATTACACCCTTAAATGTGAAAGATTATCAAAAAAGGAAATGTCCTACCTCAGGCCACCCTGAAAACGACCACAGATCAGGGATGGTTTAATTAACAGAAACCCATTTTCTCACACTCTGGGGGGTTAGGTGTCAGCATGGTCACTTCTGGTAAAAGTTTTTCTCCTCTCGCGGATGACTTCTTACAGTGCTCTGCCAGCACAGGGGCAAAAGCCAGCTTTCCACTCTCTGCTTAAAAGGGCGTTAATCCCTTGGGGACCAGCATGAGCTATAGCAGGCCAACTGACATCCCATATGGATCTGGTTCAAGTCCTGGCTGTTTCACTTCAATATAGCTTCATCTTGCTAATGACCTGAGAAAAGCAATGGAAAGATGGCTGATGTGCTGAGCCCCTGCCACCCACACTGGAGACCCAGATGAAGAGCCTGGCTCCCAGCTGCAGCCTGACCCAGCCCTCGTTTTTGTGCTCATCTGGGAAGTGAGCAGTAGATGGAAGATACATTCTCTTTCTCTCTTTCCCCCACCCATAACTCTTTCAAATAAATAAACTGTAAAAGAAAAGGACATTAATGCCTTCAAGAGGGCCAATCTTCACAGCCTCATCTAAATCTAGCTATTTCCCAAGGCTCCATTTCCAAACACTGACACTGGGGGGTGAGAACATCAACATATGACGCTGCATAGGGGTCTGGGTGAGACACACTTCAGTCCACAGAAGTAAGAAAAAAGTAAACATGAGAATGATGCATAATCATTTCATTTACATTTCAAAACAGACAAAGCGACTGGAGCTGTGGTGCAGCATGTTAAGCTCCCCAGCTACAGCACGGGAAGCCTAAGTGGGTGCCAAATCGCTGCTATGCACCCGTGAGAGCAGGGCAGGATGGCCCGAATCCTTGGAATCCCGCACCTAAGTGGGAGACCCAGATGGAGCTCCTGTCTTTGGCCTAGTCCAACCCTGGTTGCTGTGGCCATTTGGGGAGTTAACCAGTGGGTTTAAGATCTCTTCTCTCCCTTCCCTCCCTCTCCTTCTGTAATCCTACCCTTCAAATAAATAAATATCACTTATCAACACACAGATAGGTGATGAAACTTAAACTATACAGGAAATAAGAAGGGGGTTGAGGCTATGGCTTAGCATCCATGCAGTGCTGCTTCCCACGTGGGCTCCAGTTCATGTCCAGGCTGTTCTACTTCTGATCCAGGCCCCTACTAACATGCCTGTGAAAATGGAAGATGGCCCAAGTCCTTGGATCCCTGTGCCCATGTGAGAGACCTGGAAGAAGTTCCTGGCTCCTGGCCCAGCTTTGGCAATTGTAGCTGTTTAGGGAGTGAATCAATGATCTCCTCTTTCTGTAATTCTGCCTCTCAAATAAAAATACCATTTTTTAAAAAAAGCATATTATAAAACAAACAGGAATCTAAACTGGAAACAAAGAAAAACTACCTGTTTTCACATAAGGCATGTTATTCCTCAAAAACACTAAAGAATATATGCACACCCCCCCCCAATTAAAGCTAATGAAGAGATAGAAGAAAGTTGAAAGATACAAAATCGACAAGCAAATGTACTATATATCTCCACACAAGCAATAAGCAACTCTAAAAGAATCTCAACTACTAATATGAAGAACATGAAAAATAATAGCAATAAATCCAATCAAAAGGTGGAAGATTTCTATGAAAAAAACTTGAAATCATTTCTGAGAGAAATTAAAGATGATGACAAATTCATTTCATAAGGGAAATAAAACACACCAAAGCAAACAAGGCAGTATCAGAAATTAAAATTTTAAGCTCATGTCATTAATAAAAAAGACACAATTTCAAATATTTACAGATTTATTCAAAAGGGAAGAAGTGAGTGACACATGCAAGTCTCTGCCACAGCCAGAGAGAGAGGAGGAAAAAGGGAGAGAGAGGGAAGGAGGGAGAGACGGAAGGGAGGGAAGGAGAGAGAGAAAGATCACACATTATTGATTGACTTTCCAAAAGGCCACACTACTGGAGACAGGGCTGGGAATTCTTAGACACTCAGGTGATGGAGCCGCCACCTGCTGCCTCTCAGGGAGTGCACTAGTTGGAAGCTAGAATGGAGAGCAGGGCCAAGACCCAAGCCCAGGCATGTGGATATGGGGTACAGGCATTCCAAGCAGAGGTTTGACCACTGTACCAAATCCCACTCCCACAATTAATTTTTAAAAATTTAAAACATCATTGGGCCCAGCACAGTGGCCTAGCCACTAAAGCCCTCGCCTTGAACATGCCTGGATCCCTTATGGGCTCCGGTTCTAATCCCAGAAGCTCCACTTCCCATCCAGCCCCCTGCTGGTAGCCTGGGAAAGCAGTCGAGGACAGCCCAAAGCTTTGGGACCCTGCACCCGTGTGGGAGACCTGGAGGAAGTTCCTGGATCCCGGCTTTGGATCGGCATAGCACTGGCCGTTGCGGCTCACTTGGGGAGTGAATCATTGGACAGAAGATCTTCCTTTTTGTCTCTCCTCTCTGTATATCTGACTTTCCAATAAATAAATAAATCTTTAAAAAATACTATGTTCAAGGGCCTGGTGCCATGGCTCAGTGCCTTATCCTTCACCTTCAGGCACTAAGATGCCAAATGGGAACCAGCAGTTCATGTTCCAGCTGCTCCACTTCCCTTCCTGCTCCCTGCTTGTAGCCTGGGAAAGCAACAGATGATGGCCCAAAGTTTGGGACCCTACACGCACTGTGCAGACCTAACAGAAACTCCTGGCTTCAGATCGGCTCAGTTCTGGCCAATGCAGACATCTGGGGAGTGAACCAGTAGATGGAAAATATTTCTCTTTCTCCTTCTCTCTGTAAAATCTGCCTTTCCAATAAAAATATAACATGCAAATAGCAACAAACTGCTTAATGCCAAAAATCAAGCAGTGAAACAAAGTCAAGATGCTTTAAAAGCCTCAGATGAGACAGGTGTTTGACGCAGTGCTTAGACACCAGTTCAGAGCGTGCAGATCCTGCCACCCACGGGCTGAGACCTGAGCTGAATTCCCCACTCTGAGCTTCGGTTCAGCCCACGCCATCACAGGCATCTGGGAAGCAAGGAAGTTGACAAGGATAATCACCAATCCTGTTTCAGATAAGCACACGAAAAAATAACCTAAGATGATTGTTTTCTCTGGATAAAGAAGAGAGAAGGTACAAAAAGATTTCAAAGGTATTAGCAGTTTTCTTCAAAGGGAGTAGACAGACAGCAGTTTCATTATTATTTCCTGTACCTCATAAAACTTTAAGTCTTTTATCTACTCAGACTTTCAGAAAAACATTGAACAGCTCGGGGACAAAAAGACAGCCACCCTCTCCTCTCCTAAGCGAGGTGGTGGGGTCCACCTACCTCCCCGCAGTCTTCAGGTGGCACCCCCTGGACTGCAGGTACCACCCTGAGGACTTCAGCCTGTTCCCACCCCGGTCAGCACGTCCTCCTTCCTTCCTAGCGATTAGAAGCCGTCACTTTCTCAGCTCTAGTCATCTCCAAATGTATTCTTCAAAATTACATTAAAAATGTACAAGTTGAAGACTAAGAAAGCTGTATTTTTCCTAAAACCTATTCTTAAGGTATTTTAAATCATCATTCATGAGTCACTTCAGTGAAAACTCTTGATGACTCTTACTCCCATGTCCATTCAGTCATCAAGGCTTGTAGACTGCGTCACATAGATAAGGTTGGATTCAAAAACCACTGTCAGCAGTAGTTGTGGCTGAGTGGTTAAGGCGATGGACTAGAAAAACCACGGTCTCAATTCAGATCATTTCTAACTCATACTAGAAGAACCACCTAAACGCTCACCCTGCCACCTGACTGACACTGCCCAGCACATACCACCAGAATATTCTCTCTCTCTCACACACACACACACACACACACACATATCCCTATTAAATAGCTCCAGATTCTATCTGACCTGCAATACAAAC